CGTTTCTGAGATAGCGAAATAAATAAGTCGCATGATTATTTGTCAATCGATATGATATTTTCTAATAGTGTTTAACTTAAAGTGTATGTATAGTCGAATCTTACTTACTTACGCCTGTTACTCCCAATGGAGCATAGGCCTCCGACCAGCATTCTCCAACCCACTCTGTCCTGAGCCTTCCTTCCCAGTTCTGTTCATTTTTCTCATATCTGTCTCCATTTCTCAGCGTGAAGTGTTTTCTTTGGTCATGTGGTCGAATCAATGAGGTAAAAAGAAAAGTTATAGTACAAATATCAAAAGTTTTAAGAATCAATAATAAGAGTGAAATAACGTTTGACTCTTCTTGAACACTATTGAGACGCTAGTTTGCTTAGAATGAACAATGAACGATTTTACTTTCTTTATACCAAGTAACCAGTGAGGAACTAATCTACCATGAGTCAACGCAACTCAAATCAAGAATGCATAATTCGCCCGATTAACTGTGACCGGCGGTGTCCGAAAAACGATACTGACACATGCTGTGTTACGTGCTAACCCCTCCCCCTCAACTGATTATTTGAACGCGAATACAATAGTGAACTAGAAAGTATATTGAGCTACCGAGTAAAATGCATAAATACTTATTTTTATATATACCACTCTGACCCCTAAGAAATTGATCCATTTCTTAGTCAATGAAATGCACTTGTCCTTTAGATCATTTCTGATTGCCATCAATTGACCTTCTTATTAGGCTACTTCTGACTGGCTTACCACATCACGTGGATTAATCAACAATCCAGTAAATGCAAAGCATACTAATATAAGACACAACAGGTACATATCAGATTATCTACTACCCAATCCTTATTTATTTGTTTGAACACGTAAACATTGGTACAAGCGGGCACCAACTACATATGCACCACACAATAACAATGAGACCAGTAACAGTGATCATTAGTTTGTGGAAGGGCTGGGATACTATCCGGGTGCCCAAACCGAAACAGGTGGTTTTCTTAAGGACCACACCATTCGACCTAAAGGTCTAATCCATAAAACAGTGGAGCAACTTCGAGAGATGCGGTCCCATTGTAGCTGGTGACCAACAGTAGGTTCATACTTCATTTGTCCCCCCATAATCCTGAAGCTCATGTGCATCATTGGTTTGGAATAAGAGTTTTCCAACTTCCCTAGGTGGATCCTCTGTATCCGCTAATCCGGTTAAAGCGCCAGACATTTGCTTTTCGTCCTCCCAATTTCGTAAACAACACCCTTGCCACGAGAAGACAATAAGTAGGACCTTCCTGTCAGTGGTTGTATGCACGTGGCCATGTGAGAGCATTTGGAGGGAGAGAGAGGACTCTACCCACTCTCGGCCGGACCAGGGCATTTGGGGGCCAGTACCCATTCCGAAAACAAGCATTGTCCAGTTTCGCCTATGCAACAAGAATTTAAAGTTAGGTGTTTGAGTGCTTATGACGAACTGATATCAGCTATAATGGAACAATCCTAAAATCATGTCGTAATTCCTAACATAACAAATCATTTGACTACATTAGCCAAATCAGTTAACACCTCAAGATTGTTCGGCTTTGTACCTTGGATTTACCTTTAAAAGTTAAAAATACTGATTCTGCCATGACATTCAATAGTTCGATCCTACCTACTGTTAATGTAGTTCATTGTGTTGTGTCTTAGAAGATTAACCCATATCATGTGCTAAAGTCACCAATCACAATTCCAATTTTGTCTATTCCAGGTCTACTACTTATTCTAAGGTCTAATGTCCCCGAACTGTGACCAGTTATATGCCTGAACAGCATTTTTGACCTTGATTTGACGCTGCTAAACTGCTAATGGTCTGTTGCTCGCACGTTTTTCTTTATAACCCTGTCTTGAGTTTAAAGTCATCAGCCAGCTGCTATTATTATATTTCAAACATATATGAGTTTATATTCAAACATACTGGACTGCATCTCATTGTAAGGCGTAAACACGAAATCATACATAGAGGAGTCAAAATTGGCTGCGAATAGTCGATTAGCAATAAAATAGGAATTATAAGCAGTGTAATCACAGTTAATAAGTTAAATAGAAGCTTATTTTCGTTCCGCTTTAACACATTGATTACACTTGTCTCTTTTTATTATTTAGTATCATTTGTTTAAAATAACTCCTACTATATCCCTTTCCCATATTTTTTTGTAGTACTATACTGAATTAAAAAATCGTGTAATTAAAGAACTACCAGAAGAAAGACAAGAGTCGGTAACCAAACTCTTCGATAAATTAATGGAGGACGTTGAATGTAACTTGACTGTTAAGAATCGTGACACGTAAGTTTAGTGACAATATAAAAGGTTTACATTTGTCTTTCCAAATGAAATACTCTTTACCAGATAAAAAAAAAACAGTCTCATTCGTTCATTTTACAAACAAGTACATATTTTTGACGTTTCTCATTACGAACTATTTTCAGTATCCGGTAACTAATTTTGTATTTTCTTCAATGCTCATTTCTGACTAGCACACGTAAGTTCATTTCGTGAATAGGCTCGTGATAGCACAGTTAATTGTTTCATTTCCAATTGTTTAACCACTAAATATGTAGCACAGCAAATAATTTTGTCAGATGGTTCAGCAGTGAGTCATGAGATTAATAGTCAACAGCTAGCAGTTACCGTATCTTTGATACAAAGTTTACAACAATATTTCGCCCTTGCCATTCAGCTTCAACGTAAAACCTGATACGCATATACATCGGTTTATGTTGCTACACCTAATTAGCACGGACAGGTAAAATTATTAGGATGTCCCAGAATAGTATAGGTTGTAACAATTACTGATAATAGAAAAGATTAAGAATCGAAGATACGACTCAAGAAAATATAAATTAGTAGAATACAGAAAACTTATGAGGAACTCAGAAACGTAAAATCTGGAAGAAGACAGAGAATGGATGCAGATATATTATTACAAGCGATTTTGAGCCATGTTATTCACTCAATAACTGGTTAGGCGGACCTCGACCATTTAGTGTACACCTTAAATGGCTTAGTCCAACTCTATACGACTTCACGCACTGACGTTACATCACAGTTTAGCCACCTCTAACTTTCTTCCAACCTGCTCCCCCATCAGCCACCATTGCGCGTCGAGTTAATCGCTTGATGGGCATCCGTGTTACACGTCCTAACCGTTTCAGTCCATAACGATTCATTACTTCGCTGATCGACCAAGGAATACAAATTTTTCCGGACGTCGGAAAGTATATTTGTTCCAAAGCCTCCCGAATGGTGAGTATTTGGTCTATGCATTCACTTTCAGGTCTGAAACCAGCCTGATTCCCCCGGGTTAGCTTGTCACTAGTTCCAGTTAGACTTGAAAGTATTACTGAGAATAATATTTTGACACGATACTAGTTAAACTGACCCCTATGAAGATGTCACAAAAGGATTTTGCCTTTTTCTTATAAACTGAGACCATCGGCGATCGAGATCAGTCAGATGGGATTACGTTCAGTTCTCAGATTTTACCTAAAATTTCAGTTAACCAAACTGATAAAACTGGACCACCATCTTTAAAAGTCTCAAGGTTGAGTCCATCCAGCTTTGCTGCTCTGTCTTGTTTTAGAGTTTCCAACGCCACTAAGATTTGTAGGAATCATATTGACTTGCCACTCAGGTTGCTTGGAGATGGTCAGCTACTGAAGTATGGCTAAAGGCCAGTTGGAATGTTCCCTAAATTGTTCTACCAATCAGTCCAATCTAGATTGAGTGAATAATAATCTCGCCCAGTCGGATACTTAATACCTGTTTCTTTAATAATTCTGGACAGTTAAGCTGCGTCCACTCTTCGTCGTGTTCAGGGGTAGATGACATAAGCTCCCGAACATCTATCGGTTCAGTAGACGCCGCTGAAATCCACTGTTTTAAGTCACTAGTAGATATCACTCTTGTTTCGACAGATGCTTGTCTGTCAAGTCGGCCTCAGGGTATATATCACTTCGCTCTGCACTTCAAAAGACCTTACCGCCGGAGACAAATCCGTTGAATAAGGCGTGACACCTCAAACTTCGACCTTGTCTGACTACTTCCTTTCGTTGAGATAGCATCATTGCAGATTGTCTGAGGGCTACATCTCACTGTTGTCACACATTTCTACAGTCAGTAGTCTCACCATACCTTCGGATCTTGCGTTCTCCAAACCACCATGCGGGCATGGTGAGTCCTGAGGGAGCATGTGTCCTAGCAAATATAGCTCGTTTGAGTCACCGTAATAGACAATCCTGACCACTTCAAGGCAGCGGTCGCCGTCGGATAACCTTTTGAATGCTTCATTGTTGTAAACCTATTCCAGAAGCGCTAAAAATACTTTTCTAATCACAGCTAGTCACGCGCAGATCTACGAACTGTTCGTGAAGTCCAATCTCCATCTGAAGCGTCGACATATAGTTATTTCTTTCACACACACACACACACGCAGTGTAGAGATTTCTCGTGCCATCAAAGTTCCTTAACATCGTTTGAGAATTCTGTCTCCCACCTAATAGCCAAATATGCACTGTGTTGAGACAAGTATAAGCATATTTTGGAGCTTTCCGACTAATCCTCGAAGTTACCATAACACTGAAAAGTCGAAAGATCCCCATTCTCGTCGCTTCGCTCTGAAACATGTCATGCTAATGTCATATAACAATACCACATTTTCTATTGTGGAGAATTATAGGTTGCTCTCACTGGTTGGCTTGTTGCAGCTGTATGTCGAGTTTTGCCGTTTAATTTATCATAGAAGAGCTTACTTTTTACACTAGTTATCAACGTTGGCTACATCAAATTTTTATGCACCTCTTAGAAAAAAATTTGACAGGATATACAAGGTGCTAATGAACTCTATTAATTTTAATTTCAGGTTTACTCAAAATCTATCTACCTTCAAACACAGTTTGGGCGACTTCCTCAAAAAGTCAAGTACAAAACCGGACGACACATTTAGCCAGGCAGAAAGCAACAATTACGAGACATATCTTTGTTTAGGTAGTGCGATAGCACAAGCAGGCGAACAGTTGTTGAATACATAGGAACTCAAGATAAACTATTTTGTACAATATTTTGTAATTATTGAAATAAAATTGTTTAAAGTCAAATGCAATTATTTAAACAATTGTAGCTACGTTGGTGCGGTTTTTCGAGAATTAATCTTTACAATAGTTCTGGAATTCGTCCAAAAATTTCAAATATAACTTGTGCTCTTCTGAAGTACAGAAGTTTTGCAATTCTCGTTGAAAGTCTGCGTTCAGCCCTCGTTCTACCAGTAATTGCATTGTATGATTATACATATCCTAGGATAAAAGTAAAATGTCATCAAACTTGTCAAAAGATGTTAAACAGTACTATTGAGCGTTACTTACATCATCGAATAAATCAGTATACACGAAATAGCCCGGGATGCGTTCAATTTCAACTGAATCCACGGAGTACGTAGCTGTAAAAAGAAGAATCACATTAGAATATAGAACGAAGGATTATTGTCAACACGTATACCTATACTATGCAAAAACATTTGTTCCACGTAGACAATCGACGGATACCTTAAGTCTGATAGTCACTATAAAACGATACGACCATTTTAATCAAGATTACAGCTAGTCCTAATTCATTTGTAGTTCGTCACATTTATATAGATTTAGGACGAATCCCAAAACATAAATTACTAGAACTACTAGGCAGTTGCAGCTTACTATTGATTCAGCATTACGACGACAAGATCAGACCTCTCTGCTGGTCAGCTCATAATATTAAAATAAGTGAGGAGGAAAACCTCGTTATCAGTTTCCAACAAGCTAATTCACATGGAAAATCAGTCTGCTGTACAGGTGTGGTGTTGGTATGACCTGAATTCAGTATGACTTAGGATGCATGTTCTTTAAATTGGGTCAAGTCTCTTGTTATATCAGACAAAATCACTGGATGTAAGCCATAATAAGCTATTTTAAGTGTGCTGAACGTTATACACATATCTAAACCACTCATCCACAAGACAACCTTATCTAACTAAATCACTAGCGAGATCGAAATCCAACTACTTAGATATACTGCTGGATATGTTTTCTGAACGGCTTTACAGCAAACACACCCTAGCTACCTTCTCTTATGAAGCTAATTACAACCCCATGTTGAAGAACATAGAATGCCTAGCTTAAACAGAATCTCATCTTGCAATCAGAACCGCGCCCCTACGGAGTTTGTATATAACAAATCTCGTACTTTTCTAGATACATTACCAAACACTGACTACACAAAAAAATAACTCACGAAGATCATTTGACTCGTCTTCGGAAAGTTGTTTTTCAGCATCATGTCCCGGAAGACTGCAGTTGAAAATCAGACTTCGACCACTAGGTTTTGAGAGTTTGATACGCAAATCAGGATGAGCCTCCAAGGGGGTATCATCCTCAATCCTATCCGGAGTACTCATTTCATCCTCAGAAATATTAGGAGAAACACTACCAGCCAAATTAATCTCCACATCAACAAAACTAAATCTAATATATTTAAGATAAATATTGTTTACACTCCGTCTTGATATTCTTTGCGTATAACGATTTCACATCCATTGGTTTCTACTACTTGGAACCCTTCAGGGGGATTGCAGAAAAAAGCATTTGCCTTCTCTTGTTTAATCTCATTCGTCAGAAACTGGTTCAGCTGACGGTCAACTAAGGCACAATCGTGTACACAACCGGAAATCTTACCTTGAGATGAACAGAACCCAGTTGAAGTAGTTAGATGTCTAATAGCACTTGGTTTACTTAAAATCTGGGTCCCTTTACTAGCGAATGTTAAACGAGCACCAAGCAATACACGAGCAAAAAGTCTAGACATTTCACGCCGCAACAAGTAACTCAATTATAACCCTTGACCGTAATTCACTAAAACATTCTTACGATTTAAGCTTTCAACATTCAATCATTTTCAGATTCTGGAGGAAAAACGACTTGAAAAGACTGCTCTTGTCTTAAAGAAAGGGTTTCTTCTGTTGACTCGAGTTTATTTTAAGTGTGGTTGTAGATGAATCTTCGGAGTCATATATAGGAAGCCCACTGCCGACATCGAGTATGACAGTCGCATGCTAGAAGGACTATCCCGCTCTACGCGTCTCGCCTTCACTCATATCCTGATTCTAGGGGACTTCAATCTCCCTAGAATCAACTTCGCGGAACATAAGTATACTGGAGGTGAAAATTCAATTGAAGCTCGGTTCTTCAACCCTATTGAGGATTTGGGATTTTACGAAAATAGGAAGTTGGCTACTCGCTGGAGGAACAGTCAGACACGGTCGCTCTTAGACTGTTTTTACAAACGAAGAATTTCTCAATTCCGGCTTCCCTTTAGTTTTGTCAGCAAAACTGAGCTAAAATATCCCAACAACAACAGGCGCTAGAATTTCAGACGGTTGAATGCGTCAGCTTAACAAGACTATCTACAACAGGTGGATTGGGATGTTCACCATCAACTTGATGTGGATGCTGATTGGAACTTCTTACTGCACACGCTCTTATGTGCTACAAAGCAGTCAGTTCCTTAAACGGTCCTCAAATCCACATACAACCTACAATCATCAAAAACCGCACTCTTCGTTTGCTAAGCCGTAAAAGGCACTGTTGGGCAGAATACAAACGAACCAACAACAACGGCGAGTACAGGCAATACAAACATATAAGGAACATATGTATGAAGGCTATAAGAGAAGACAGGCTTCAGAACCAGTTAAAGCTAATGGATAAATTTATTTCCAATCCGAAAAGCTTACACCGTTACGCAGCCTCTCTTCGTCAAGTCAAAACTGGAGTTTCTCAATTGCTAGTTCCTAACGGCCCGACCGATAACGATGGTGACGCCGCTAACCTTCTGGCTGAGCAATACTCCCTGACATCTCAACCAACCCACATCAACTATACTGATGAAAGCTTCATCGGCGACTGCACAGGACTTTCCGTAGTGAAACCGAGCGCTGACTTGGTGTTCCGTAAACTACAATACCCAAGAACAGACACTTCTCCTGGTCCAGACATGGTCCACTCTGCTATACTGAGGGAAGCAGCTTCAATCCTGGCAACACCGCTTAGTGTGATGTTCTCACACTCGCTAAGTCAAGGCAAACTACCGGGTATTTGGAAGCTGGCTCATATCACACCAATCTACAAAGGAGGTCGACGCAGCGAACCTTCAGGTTACCGACCGGTGGCCCTTCTCTCTATACCTTCAAAAATCATGGAGTCCCTGTTATACGATGGTATACACGACTATCTGCTCTCCCCAAATTTCTTCTCACACCAGCAGCATGATTTCAGGAAGGGTTACCCCTGTATGACGAACCTGCTGACTGCAGTGGACAGATGGACAAGCATCCTTGATCACAAGGGGAAGGTGGACATCATTTACTTTGATTTCTCTAAAGCTTTTGATAGGGTTAACCACATATGTTCTATCAATAAGCTCAGACAATTGGGCATCAACCCACCCCTAATTGATTGGCTCTGTTCATATATGAAAAATCGACATCTTAAGGTGAGGGTAAACTTCAATTTGTCACAGGCTATGGAACGTCCTGGTGGGGTCCCCCAAGGCTCAGTACTAGGATCTCTCCTCTTCCTGATTTATATAAATGATCTTCCTCAACAGGTAACGTCAGACATATTGCTCTTTGCCGATGACGTGAAACTTTGGAGAGAGATACGCAACCAAGAGGACATACAGGCACTTCAGGAGGATCTGACTCGACTTCAAAGTTGGGCAGACGATAACGGACTTACCTTTAACACTTCAAAGTGTAAAGTAGTCCATCTGCGACACGTCGCGGATTACAGTTACAACTTAGGAAACTCCTCTCTAGTAGTATCCTGAGTCGAAAAAGATTTAGGAGTTCTGGTGCCCTACGACTTAAAGTCTTACGCCAAGTGTGACAGAAATGCCTTTCGAGCAAACCTTGCACTGGTAACATTGAAGCGCATTTTTGGTCAGTTTGACGGGAGAACTTTCCACATAATCTTCAATAGTTTCATTCTTCCCCATTTAGAGTACGGAACATAGTATTCCCTCCTACACTCCAAAAGGATAAGGACACTCTGGAGCGTATCCAACAGCGAGCCACGAAATCAGTTCACGGACTCAAATTCAAACCTTACGATGAGCGCCTCCAATCACTTGACCTTTACCCATTAAAGTATAGGCGTCTTAGAGATGACCTTTTAATGGCTTACAGTATCCTTAACACACCTGGACATCCTCTTAAACACCTACTTAAGCTTAGTCCCAACACTAAGCTAAGGGGTAACACCCAGAAATTAGAGACACAACATAGTAGAACGGACTGCAGGCACAACTTTTACTCCTTAAGAGTTGTCAAATGCTGGAATTCGCTACCGGCTGAGCTAGTCCAAGCAACTTCCCAGGAGTCCTTTAAGAGGCAACTTGATCTATTCTTAAGGACTAAGGATAGTATCTTCCTATGATTTACCAATTTCTTTTTTTCTTTTGTCGATAATATATATAGGTTCTTGCTTGTAGGTATTGATGATCCCCTGCTACTAGACACGGAAGCCTGTTAAGCGAAAGCTTCTTCTATTCCGTCCACAACCATTTGAACCACTTGATCACTTACTTACTTACTTACGCCTGTTACTACCAATGGAGCATAGGCCGCCGACCAGCATTCTCCAACCCATTCTGTCCTGGGCTTTCTTTTCTAGTTCCATCCAGTTCTTGTTCAATTTTTTCATGTCTATCTCCATTACACGGGGTAATGTGTTCTTTGGTCTTCCTCTCCTCCTTCGGCCTTGAGGATTCCATGTGAGGGCTCGTCTTATGACGCGGTTCGGTGCTTTCCTCAGTGTGTGTCCTATCCACTTCCAGTGCTTCTCACTGATATCTTCCTCCACTGATATCTGATTTGTTCTCTCCCACAGTAGGTTGTTGCTAACAGTCTCTAGTCAACGGATCCGAAGTATTTTGTGTAGACAACTGTTAATAAACACCTGTATCTTCTGAATGATGACTTTCGTGGTAGAACTGTCTTCACATTTGTATTGAAAATTCTGACCTTGGTGTTGGTTACCAATTGTTTTGAGTTCCAGATATTCTTCAGTTGTAAATATGCTGCTCTTGCTTTGCCGTTTCGTGCCTTCACATCTGCATCAGATCCACGGTGTTCATCGATGATGCTGCCCAAATTTGTAAAAGTCTGTGCATCTTCCAAACCTTCTCCGTCAATTGTGATTGGATTGGTGCATGCTGTGTTGTATCGGAGAATCTTGCTTTTCTCTTTGTGTATAATGAGACCTATTGCTGATGAGGCTGCTGCTACACTGGTCGACTTCTCCTGCATTTGTTGTTGCGTATGCGATAGAAGAGTCAGATCATCTGCGAAGTCTAGATCATCCAATTGCATCCTAGCTATCCACCGTATCCCGTGCTTCCCTTCAGATGTTGACGTCTTCATGATACAGTCGATCACCAGCAGAAAGAGAAAGAGTGAGAGTAAGCAACCTTGCCTGACACCGGTCTTTACTTCGAACGACTTTGTCAACTGTCCTCCATGCACGATTTTGCAGTTTAATCCATCATAGGAATTCCGTATGATATTGACTATCTTCTGAGGCACGCCGTAGTGTCGAAGAATCTTCCATAGGGTTGCTCTGTCCACGCTATCAAATGCTTTTTCGTAGTCGATGAAGTTGATATAGAGTGATGAATTCCATTCAATTGATTGTTCCACAATGATCCGTAGAGTTGCGATTTGGTCTGTGCACGATCTATCCTTACGGAATCCTGCCTGTTGGTCTCGAAGTTGGGTGTCTACGGAGTCCTTCATCCTGTTTAACAATACCCTGTTGAAGACTTTTCCTGGTATTGAAAGAAGAGTGATTCCCCTGTAGTTGTCACAGTTGCTGAAATCGCCTTTCTTTGGTATTTTGACCAGAAGTCCTTCTTTCCAGTCTTTTGGTACCTGTTCCTCATCCCAGATCTTTCTAAAGAGAGTTTGGAGTATCCTTGCAGTTGCCGCTACTTCTGCTTTCAGTGCCTCTGCTGGAATGTTGTCTGGTCCTGCTGCTTTGCCACTCTTAATTTGTCTGATAGCCATGCTTATCCCTTCAATTGTTGGTGGGCCAACATCGATTAGGAGGTTCGTGAGTGTTGCTTCAATGTTGGGTGGGTTCAGTGGGGCTGGTCGATTCAAGAGTTCTTTGAAGTGTTCTACCCACCTGTTTCGTTGTTCTTCAATGTTGGTGATTATCTTGCCTTCCTTGTTTTTCACTGGTCGTTCTGGTTTACGGTGATTTCCAGAGAGTTTCTTTGTTGTTTCATACAGTTGTCTCGTGTTTCCTTCTCTTGCAGCCTTTTCCGCCGTCATTGCTAAATCTTCCACATATTTACGTTTGTCAGATCTGATGCTCCTCTTCACTTGCTTGTTTACTTCTGTGTATTCAGCCTGTGCCTTGGCTTTTTCTGCTCTTGTTCGACTGGCATTGATTGCTGTCTTCTTGTTATCCCTTTCTTGAATCTTATCCAGTGTATCGATTGTGATCCAATCCTTGTGATGGTGCTTCTTTTGAACCTCATGACATGTTAAAGTGGTTGCCTCTTTTATCTCTTTCCAGTTGCTCTCCATAGTAGTTCCCACTCGATTGAGTAGATCATGAAAGGCCTGGAACTTATTGCTGAGGGTTATCTTGAATTTGTTGAATTTGTCATTATCCCGAAGAAGAGCCGTATTAAAATTTTGTGATATGGTCCGCCCCGTCGTCCAGTGCCTCCTGAGTTTCAATTTCATCTTGGCGACCAGCAAGTGATGATCTGATGTTATATCAGCTCCCCTCTTAGTTCTCACGTCCTCCATCGTCCTCCAGAACATTTTGTTGATGCAGATATGGTTGATT